GGAAGTGTTTTCTACTGAAGTAATGTTACTAATAAAATAGTTTCTTAATATTCAAATATCCTGCAGAAGTTAATAATCGACTAACTAATCGATTTTGAAAATAATCGTTAGCTGCAGCTCTAGTTGACTCCATGGATAGTTGTACTTAGTAACTCAGCTAGAAGCTTCAGCAGTCCATGCCAGGTGATGTCTGTCACTGGTATTTGTCAGGCTGGCTACTAATGGAGGTTCTGTGCTTTATAACTGCTGGCTGTCACATCTCTGACATGTGCCAAACACATAACCATCCTTAGTAATAAGTCAGTAATTAGATTTAAAGTATATTTGTGGCTCGTGCTTCATCCAAATAGACTACTGCAGAATGTAACAGTCTTTGATGGGATATTTTAGTAAATAATAAAATAAAACTGGTTGATTGTGACTTCCTAGGGGCTCTAATGAGAAGCCTGGTAAGGTTTGTTGGAAAAGTGAACCGACCTGTTCAACGACAGACAGATAACTCCTGAATGTACCCATCTACTCTTTATATGGTGTGTAGACACATAACCATCACCTCTATAAGAGTTTCCTGATTCTGAGATTCCATTTTGGAATTATGGGCGTTAATATGGAGTAAGGCTCCCCTTTGCGTATATAACAGCCTCTGCTCTTCTGGGGGAGGGCTCCACAAATGTTTGGGGTGTGTCTGTGGAAATTTGTGCCCATTCAGCCAAAAGAGCTGGTTAGTGTTTCAGTTAATCCCAGAGGTGTGCAATTGGGTTGAGGTCAGGCCTCTGTGCAGGCTGTTTGAGTTCCTCCACACCAAGACTTATCAAACCATGTCTTTACGGAGCAGGGTTTTTGCACAGGGGGGACAGTCGTGCTGACACAGAAAGGGCCTTCCCCCAAAATGTTACCACAGGCTTGAAAGTGCACCTTTTGTGAATTAACAGGGCCCTTCATGGGAAACACCTGAACTCAATTTGTGGGGTGCCAACATATTTTTGCCCATGTGATGCGATGGTCAGGGGTCCACAGGCTTTTGGCCATATAGTAAAAAGCGACATGACAACAAACAGCACTAAAGACCTCCCTAGTGTAGTAAATTGTAATGAACCTTCGTAAAATAAACTCAGTTGCACTCACAAAAGAATAACTCCCCTGAAGCAATAGAGCATTCACAGCATTCACTAATGGAACAGTGCTGAGCCTTTAAGTATCTGCCTCAAGCTTGTCATGAATGGAGGGAACAGACAACCAGGCCATTAAATAGAGGTTGGAAGAATCCTTTCTTGTTCCATCAGTGCACGTTGTGAATGCTCTATGGCCCCCTAGGGCATTATTCTTTTGGGAGAGCAATTTTTATTTTAGTAAAGTTTATTGCAATTTACTATACTATGGAGGTCTTGCACTGTTTTGTCTTTTTATTTAGTTAACCCTAAAGCTTCCACTCCTCTACTGACTAGGGATGAACCTGGTCCGGACCTAAACTCTGAACAAGGAGCGGGATGCTTGTGCTGATGTCATTTACCACATGGCACTCCACGGATCTTCAACAAATATAAAATCTTTATTCAAAGAATGAACAATGCTGTCGTGGACCACCGCCACGACAGCATGCCTATCATTTTATGAATAATACATTTAGTGAAGATCCGTGGAGTGCAGTCTTTGTGTGAGGAGCGGAGATGTGCTCAGTACTTGCACCTGCGGCGCTCTGGACGTGGGGAGTCAGTATGAGAATGGGGGCGATGATTAGCTTGCTATGTAGCCATATAAGTTCAGTTAAGTCACTGTACCCTGCCCCTTTGCCTACATCACGCTGCATTTGGGGAGTTCCACAGACGCTACTGATTGGGCAGAACGGAAGGAGCAGCTCCTTTTGGGTTTGGAAGAGCATGGGTTTGGACCGCGTTCAGTCCAAACCTGAGATCATCCCTACTCTCTTGACCCAGCTGGCTGCATAGTCTACATTTGAGCTGTAGATGATCATTTATTTATACATACCTACATTTGTGTGTGTGTGTGTGTGTGTATTCTGATACATTTTAAACCTTTTTTTTTGTCCTGAGGGCAAAATTTGGTTATTTTTTGTCAATTTAAAGGAGAACTATGAGGCGAGTGAAAATCACTCAGCCTCATAGTTCTAGCCGACCTGCGACAATTAAACTGTCACAGGTCGGCTCAATAGATCTTTGGGAACGCACCTTCTGACAGATTTGTTCATTAGGGTCACCATTGATGACTGCGGTTTGTCCACGCTGATGTCTTAGTATCAGATAAATGGTCGAGAACACAAAATCATGTTAACACATGCAAAAGTGATTTATCCAGCATTTTCATATTACATTACATGCCTCAAGGCTCTCTGAAAACAACAAAGGAACCCATTCAAATTTAATAATTCACATAAATGACCCGGCTTTTGCCTGATGAAAGATTTCCTTTTTAGCTCGCATTAAATGCTGTATTATTTATATTCTATTAGTAAAGCTAATTGTTCTTGGTTTTTATTTTGTTCTAGTCCAGCAGCTAGCATTTTTGAAAGAAGGCAGCAGTAGCGGTTTGTGTTTCTTTTAGCATTAGGTTGTGGTTAGAAGAAGTTGGGATGAAGGTATATTCCACTTTAGGCAAAACAAATAATAAATGGAATCGCTGCAAAAGGACAAAATTATTATTAATACACAGGTTTTGTATAGCGCCAACAGTTTGCGCAGCGCTTTACAATATAAGAAAGACATTACAATCACAATACAATTCGAGACAAGATGGTAAGCATGGCCCGGCCCCTGAGGACTTACAATCTAAAAGGGAGGGGCAAGTGATACATGAGGAGGTAGCTGTGTGGGGATGAATTGTTTGCGAACGTGATGGTTGAGTGGTTAGGTTGAGGTGGGATAGGCTTCCCTGAAGAGATGAGTCTTAAGGGATCGCCTAAAGGCAGTCAGAGTGGGAGATAATCAGACAGGTTGGGGTAGAGAGTTCCATAGGATGGGAGAGACTCTAGTGAAGTCCTGGAGGCGAGCATGGAAGGAGTTGACAATGGAGCTGGAAAGCAGGAGGTCTTTTGAAGAGCGGAGAGGACTGTTGGGGTGATACTTTGAGACAAGGTTGGAGATATAGCCGGGGCATAGTTGTGAATGGCTTTGTAAGTGATTGTTAATATTTTGAATTTTATCCTTTTGAGCAATTGGAAGCCAGTGTAGGGATTGGCAGAGGGGGGTTGCAGACACTGAGCGGTTGGTTAGGTGGATGAGTCTAGCAGCATCATTCATGATAGACTGAAGGGGGGATAGCCTGTGTAGAGCTAAGCCAATGAGGAGGGAGTTGCAATAGTCAAGATGAGAGACAACAAGTGAGTGGATGAGTAGTTTTGAGGTTTCATTGGGGAAAAAGGAGCGTATTTTGGAGATGTGGTGAAGGCGGCTGGATTTCGATAGTGATTGGATGTGGGGAAGACAGGTGAGGTCTGAGTCCAAGACAAAAGGTGCATTTATTAATTTTTAGTGTTGGAACCTGCACGATCAGAGGAGAATGGGATGCAATGCTTGGGTTCCTGCAGAAGTTATTATTGGACTACAAATGCGGTGAGATCACTACACTTGTACTCCATTGAGAACTATGATTCGCTCTTCTGCAGTGGCTGACCGCTGTTTTTTTTTTCATTCACAGATCCTGCCAATGGATCTGTAAATGAATGGCGCAACATGGTGAGGCGGTTAGAGGGTGGGGGCTGCAGAATGGCTCCATGTTACATTACGACACACAAGGACCCTGGGGAGCAAACGTAGCCACCCTCTGGAAGGAAGGACAGTGTCAGCACCAATTCAGAGATGATTTGAGGATCTACAGCCAAGTGATACACAAATAAGATACATTTTTTAATAGTTAAGGTACTTTAATGTATTTTTCAAATGTAGTTCCTGAGTTTAGTGTCACTTTAAGGTGAAACTATACATTGCCCATGCTGGCCAAAGTAACAGGTTCAGATTACTTTTGTGGATCATAAACAGCATATACCTTCTACTCTCTATAGGTTGAACTCGATGTGCCTTTTTTTCAACCTGACTAACTATGTAACCATGTACTCCCTGCCCAGTGCTCTGGTCTACTGCCACCTTACCCACTCCTGGCATATACTCAGTACTTCTAGGTATGGAGGAACACTTGACATCCCCCTGCCTTCATACAATGCATTGCTTGGTACCCGAACAGGAATTTTTCAGACCCAGCCCTAGTCACATGGCGGTACACAGTGTTGAATGTTAAGTGGGCAGGTGGCAGCAATTGGAGAGCAAACACAGGGTAATCATCGACTGGTTTTATAATACATATTGTAACCTGTTTATTTGCCCAGAATAGGGAAAGTTCAACTACCTTTAGGGTCAATAAATGACTCTTTTTTTTTTCCAGTGATACGTGTAAAGCATTTGTGGTAAACATTCTTGCCCGTATCTCTGGCAGTGAAACCTCATCTGTTTTTAGAAGTTGAAAGTTAAAGGCTAAGTTTACTTTTCTGCCCTTTTTTTCATGTTACATCCGCCCACACAGCTGCCTCATCCATTCACGGATCTCTTGGCAGGATCTGTAATGGAGAAGCTACAAGTGCTATCAGCCAACGCAGCAGAAGGACTTGTAGTTCTTAATGGAATACAAGTGCAGGATATCACCGCACTTGCAGTCCATTTCTTCTTCGTCCATGTTATTGAACGTCCGTACTGAGGTAGGACATGGACAGGAGGGAGACTCTGCAGGAGACAGAGCATTGCACCCACGATTCGATTGTGGCTGTAGTGCTTTACTGGCTTCAATGTAAAAAAAAATAGAAGATAGGTATTGTTTCTTATATAAAGAAATGTGCATTTATTATAATATCCTAAAAGGTGGACTATGCTTTTAACATACAGAAAGATGGTGGTACCCGGCAGAGTGCATGTTTAGTGAACCTTGATGACAATCTCTAAATTCAAACTTGCGCTTGTAAGATTTTCATTCTATTTCCTTTTCTTCGATATTTACAGGTTCAGCTGTGTGAACAGTCTGGATCTAAGCTGACAGCTGGTACCTCCCCGTCCTGAGCCAATGCTGGATCTGGAGGTTGTTCCTGAGAGATCCCTTGGCAACCAGCAATGGGAGTTTACCTTAGGTAAGTGTCATCAGGTCGGTGGTGGTCTAAGCCTACCTTTTAAAGTGTAAAAGCGGCTATTTCAGTCACTGTCATGAGGCTGGGTTTGGTATGAAAAGAAACACCCCGGGTGAAAGGTGGGGGCAATGAGACCTCTATTGTCTACCACATACAATGCTGTTTTAACACCTCTCTCTGGGCAGCTTAATAACACCTGCTAGCTTCAATCATGCAAATACAATCAGCACCTTACCTCCATGAGGTCTTTGATCCCTTGCTTGTTATTAACAGATTATGTTGATTTGGAGTAACATTCACCACATTTATTCCCAGAGAATTTTTGTACAAGTCATTCTGAATTGAGAAAGTTAGTTGGATGACCAGTGAAACGTCTTCACGAACAATACAAGTCCAAGTCCTTGATTTATTTTTTACAGATCATACCATGTCCTGGATGAATGGGAGTATGAAAATAATTAACCCGCTAAAAGGTAGCTGGTTGAAAGAGGTTAATTAAGGATCCGGACAAGCAAATTCTTTGCAAAAAAGTATAAATTTATTTAGAAAAATCAATGAAGACACAACCATTTGTTCACTATCTACCGTTAAAAACATTGAAGCATGTCAATCAATTTTGAATCTATAAATAGACAGTTATATCAAAATGAAGTACTCTCGTTTGTGTTAGGCCCCATTCACACTGAGCGATTTGCATTTTGCGCAATATCGCGCAAATGCTTGCATTGTGCAAGCTAGACTTGTGGCAAAATCCGCTCCAAAAAGGGTCCTGCTGTAGCGACGCACGACCCGCGACAGCGACTGACAGAGCCCCATTGCCATGCATTGGAGAGCGATATCGCGGGAATTACCGTGCGATAAATCGCTCAGTGTGAATGGGGCCTTACACTTGTATCGCAACCATGGGGGAGAGAGAGGGAGACTGGTGTGCTAGATATGCTAACACCGGTCTAACTCCCACCATCTTTTAGCGGGTTAATTCTTTTCATACATGCATAGGCTTGGTTACGGATCGGTCTAACAAGCAAACCTGCATTCCTAATCAAGGGTAATACTTTAATAAGTCGATCTCCAGGTAGAAACACAAAACATTCAATTTTTCCTGGATGAATGGGAACCTTCACAGACATCCAGACAAAACTATTCCTAACCCTTGCAGTGGTACTGTACCTGCACTGCAAGGGTTAAGTGCTCGTTTTGTCTAGGGAGCTAAAATCACTAAGAAAGTTATACTCACCTGAACCTCGGAGCTGGCTTGGTCTTAGACCTGAAGCCCCTCTCCCCCTCTGCTGCAGCGGTCTAAGGTCCTGTGAGTCATCACATCCTATGTATATACAGTGTATAGGACGTGGGGATGCTGAGGGACATACCATCGCTGGAGTGGAGTAGGAGACAGGCTAAAAACGGGCACTTAAACCATGGAGTGTAGGGGTAACCGCATTGTAAGGGTTAAGAACAGTTTTGCCTGGAGTACTGCTTTAAGAATTCAGTACTACAGCATTGTGATGTATGGCAATGCTGGTCACCCAGCACTGCTGAGCAGTATTTAAAACCTCCTTTTTGAACCAGCAGCAAACACATTATCAGATTGTTGGGTTGCATCATGGAAGACATTCAAACTTTGCAGCAGGATGTTTTACATGTGTCCAGAGTTCAGCTTATTATAGTTACATATGTTTACATCAGTGTATTTCAGCTACAACAGATACAGAGCAAACAAAACCAGAGTTCTCTTCATTGCAGCCCATCCTATTCTAAGGGGAATGAAGTGCTGGTCATTGTTATCAACCAATCAGGTCTAATCTTTCAGTCTAAATGATTGAAAGATTAGACCTGATTGGTTGATAACTTGGAATGCACCGATACCGATATTAATATCGGTGCCGATACCGAGTATTTGGGCGAGTACTCGTCCAAATACTCCAATACTTACCCCTGATATGGGAACTTCCAGTCAGAGGGAGATTTCCTCTGACCAGCAGTGCTGCAACGGAACATGAAGCCGGCTTCCTGGCCAATCAGGAAGTCGGGCCGCAGGTAATGACCTGCCTCCCGGCTTCCTGATTGGCTGGGAAGCTGGCTACAAGCTCATTGGCAGGGAAGCTGACTTCCCGGCCAAACAGCATGGAGCAGGCTTCCCGAACAATCAAGAAGCCAGGCAGCGGGAAATGACATGCCGCCCGGTTTCTTGATTGCCCGTGAAGCCAGCTCCATGCTACTGGAAGTGTAGGTATCGGCGAGTACCAAAATATAAATATCGGTACTCATACCGAAAAACTGGTATCGATGCATCCCTATAGATACCAATGACCAGCACTTCATTTGCCTTACTCCATTTTTTTGGGTGTGTCTGTGTGTTCCACAATTCACCATTAATGTACCCCATGCGTCCTCGTGTGAAAAACACACCAGGATTGTTGTTTCTTTCTTTCTTGGCACTTTCCACATAGTGTCACCTGATTTCAGGAATCTGGCCTCTTGTGTTCTTTATTATTTGCTCATTATGAAATCAGTAACATCCTGACATGAGTCATTTAAGCTGCACTTTATACAACGTTAGCCAAAAGTATTGTGTTGTCGGTAAGAGAAGCAGATTAGACGACAACAGGTGTGATTACTCTTTAATAGCTAACTGTAAAACGAATATTAAAATTGGTCCTTTTCAGTGTATGTCAGATGATTATTTGGAACAGTTTTTTACTTGGTGAATAAATACCACCAAAAGAAAGCTCTATCTGTCCCCAAAAAAGGGTATAAAATTCATTTCAGTACAGCGCTGCATGACGGAATAAATGTCAGTTAAAGTACCGCAGCGCTGAATACTGAAAAATGGCCTGGATGGGAAGGGGGTTTAACACCGCGGATGTCAACTGGTTAAAGCAAAACTCCGAGGATCGGGTGAGTATATCTTTGTTGTTTTTGAACCTAGACAAAAATGAGCACTTAACCCTTTCAGTACAGGGATAGCCCCACTGCAAAGGTTAATCAAAATGTTACCCGGAGTTCTGTTTTTAATTGGTTACTGGAAGTTACAAATCTTTCATCAAAGCATTAGAAACCATGAAATACATGTATTCATATTTGAATCTGTCTATATTCCCCGAGCCTTATGAAATTCTCTTTTAAAAAGCAACTCCAGCAAACCTTTTGTAGTTTTGGTAGTTTGGAGAAGGATTCCAACATCTGCCTGGTGTATATCTCAGTCTATGTCCCCATCGAGGGTCTTCCGCCTCTTTTTATCGTCATTGTGACCACACAGGATGTAATGGTAGGTTTGGCACCAGAATGATCTACTCAAGGTGTCCCATTCTAGTAAAAAATGCTGCTTCTCAGTTATTTCGGTTTCTCTTTGAAGTTGGTCATGCATTGTGGCAGGATGCTGCCCTTGTTTTAACAAAATCTCTCCTTTTAGGGCCTGTTCACATGATATCAGGTCCTGATCAGGTGCGGATCTGCAGACTGATGCAGTGCGTTTTTGGCCGCGTTTTTGATGCGTTCAAGTAAAAAAATAAAAAAAAAATTTGTTTTTGCTGGAGTGGGGCTGTTAGTATGTTAGCTGCAGTGCAGTGTGTTTTTGAAGCGTTTTTGCCGTGTTTTGGACGCGTTTGCGTTTCCGGACCTGACAAAATGTGACATGCAGTATTTTTTCTGTCGTAAGCTGAACGGACTGCGCACGTGAGAACTGGAGCCCATAAAACACATAGGGATACATTGGGATGCATTTTGAGTGCAGCAGCGTACGGAGCCGGTCAGCACACAAAACAGCACACAAAAAGGGCCAATTCACACGACGTCCGTTTTGTGTGCTGACCGGCTCCGTACGCTGCTGCACTCAAAATGCATCCCAATGTATCCCTATGTGTTTTATGGGCTCCAGTTCTCACGTGCGCAGTCCGTTCAGCTTACGACAGAAAAAATACTGCATGTCACATTTTGTCAGGTCCGGAAACGGTCAGGAAACGCAAACGCGACCAAAACGCGGCTAACATACTAACAGCCCCACTCCAGCTGTTACTTGAACGCATCAAAAACGCGGCAAAAACGCACTGCATCAGTCTGCAGATCCGCACCTGATCAGGACCTGATATCATGTGAACAGGCCCTTAGGGATACAACATGTTTGTCACTGTTTTGCTCCATTAGAGCAGATGGGGGATGAGTATGGTAAAGGCCAATGCCACCTTTCATACCATGTTTCATGTTACCTCTACAGTATATTAAGTTTGGAACATGGTGCCATTCCGCAGCCACCCCAGTACTTGAATCACAAGGTTCTTCTCCCCACAGTGATTTGTAGATTTTTGAGTTCGAGGTCTGTGAAAAACTGCAATACCAATGAATACTTTCCCAGCTCCGTAACTGAAGGTCCTTACCTCGGTATGGACCTGGGGACGGGGGAATAGTCTGCAGTATCCTGTGCATTGCATTTGTTATTCACTGATGACAATTACAATGCTTTGCCGGCTCAAATGCTAAAAATTAATAAATGCATTTTTTCCTTTTATCAGTGTGTGCTTTTGTTAACTTTTTTTTTTTTTAAAGGTGGACAATGATTTTTTTTAATGTTATGGATTAGAGCTATCCATGTTGAGATAAGTTGGGCATGCATTGGACAAGCAGTCCCATGTAGGGTTTTCTTAGGTTGTGCTAGCTTTGGGGTTGGAACTGGAGTCAGCTCCAGGAGGTGTCTGGGTCAGTTCCTAATCCACTAAGGAGGTTTTATTTATGGCAGCAAAGGTCCTGGCAGTTGTCTGTCTCCCCAGCTGCAGAACAATGTTGGGGAGGACACGGGGAAGACTCTGCATCTGAAAACGAGAATGCTAACCACTTTACTGTGCCATAAGATATACTGTTGTTTGTCTGTTACAGGAATGCCCTTGGCTCAGGCTGTGTCCATCCTCCAGAAGCATTGCAGGATGATCAGAAATGTGCAGATCCTCTATAGCGAACAGGTGAGTCTTTACTTAACATGGACCTTTCAGTAAGGTCTCGTTCACACCTAGGCGTATTGCATATGCGCGTCTGTCGCGCGGTTTTTTTACCGCGATTCGCGGTAAAAAAGTCGCGCGTTTCCGAAGGCTACTTGTCTGTATCCCAATGGAAACGCGCAACAAAACGGCCCAAAGTAGTACCTGTACCTTTTCAGGCGTGGGCCGTTTTGTAGTGCGTTAGGGACGGGCTACAAAACGTTCAGGTGTGAACGAGGGCTTACTTTACAAGTCTGCATGGATACATTTCTGAAATGTATAGCATTGCTCTCTTAAAGATGAACTTATTTATTTATTTCTCCCCAAATTAACCCTTGCGAGCGCTTTATTTTGGTCTAGAAGCAAAAATAAAGCGGTCGCCTCTGTTCTCTTCACACCAGCTGTGGTATGTCCCTCGGCATCCTCACATCTAATGGACCTGCGTTTAGTTGTGATGATGTCATGGGTCCTTAGACTGCCAGAGCCCAGGGGAAGAGAGGCTGCAGGGACCGGTCTAGCAGCGAGGCGGGACCGGGAATGAGTGTGAGTATATTTTCTTTATTTTTGCTCCTAGACCAAAATGGGCAGTAAACCTTCACTTCATGGGTCAATTTGAAAAACCCTGGAGTTCCTCTTTTACAAAGAAGAAAATGTACACCGTTGCTAAATGTTCCTAAATGTTTGCACAACTATGCCATCAGGTTATATAGCCTAGATGGGGTGTAGACTATATAGATATTTATTCTACTTGCATACAGCTGTTTTACCTTATTTGCTCTTGGATGTGTAAGATATGGAACTCATGCAACTATGGGGTAGGAGGGGTGGTGAAGAAACAAAAACCGTGTAAACAGTCAGGTTTTAGCAAGGGCCCAAAGATAAATCGAAAGACCTACAAATATGCACCACAAGTACAGCTTCACCTTCCTGAAATACATCATATTAGAATTCCTTCTACCCACATACCAGCTTGTAGCATGTGAACCGTCAACCCTACCTAACTACCCTAAATCCATTTGTCATTTGGTAAGTAGAGACAGTGCATTGTTAAATCACTTAAAACAGACCTGCGCTAAGGACGTACGGGCTGCAATTGTTGAGTGCACATTTTGAAAAATACTAATTTCCCTGTTATGTTGCTCCAAAGTGTTCAATTCTTTGAAATTATTATTGGACTAATGAAATTGCAGGGATACTGCAGCAATGGCATTAAAGGAGAATTATGAGGCGAGTGATTTTCACTCAGCCTCATAATCTGAGCTGACCTGTGACAATGAAACTGTCACAGGTCGGCTCCGTAGATCGGGAAGTGAGCGAACACATACCGGCGTTCACTCACTTCTCGATCTATCCCTGCAGAGAGCCGTGACTGTCACTCACGGCTCCCTACAGGTATTGCCCCCTCCCCTGTCCGATCCTCCAGCACTGACTAGCGGAACGGACGGGGGAGGGGGTGGGCACAGCTGGCTCTGCCTCTACATAGGCAGAGCGAGCTGTCAAGCTGGGTGGATCTCGACAGCAATGTCGGAATCCGTTCCGGCTGCGGCGTCTCAGTATACCGCGAGCTGTAGCTTGTGGTATACTGAGCTTTGGGTGACGGGAGGACGCTAGTTTGTGTTCTCCCGTGACCCTTAGGAGAACTATGGGGAAAAGCCCTAACCCCATAGTTCTCCTTTTAACCACTTTCTTATTTATACTTGTTTATACCCCCTTCCTGTCCAGGCCATATTTCAGTATTCATCGCTGCGCTACTTTGGCTGACGTTTATTCCATCATGCAACGCTGTACTGAAATTTATTTTATACCATTTTTGGGGGGACACATAGAGCTTTCTTTTGGTGGTATTTAATCACCACTGGGGTTTTATTTATTTTTATATACCAAAAAAAGTACCGAATATTTAAAAAAAAGAAAATGGTTTTCCCCTTATTATTTTAGAAAACAATTATTTTTACCCAATTGTTTGGTAAAATATAAAAGGCGGGGTCACGTCGGCTAAATAGACACCAAACATGTCAAGCTTTAAAATTGCGAGCACCCGCGAAATCGCAAAAAACACCATAGCCAAAATTTGCCATAGGCGATGCGTTAAAAGATTTTACCGCTCATCAGTTTAGTGTTATCAGTGATTGATGGCCCTATAATTATTGCTCTCAGTCCGACGTTCGCGGCGATATGTAACACGTGCAACATAATTGGAGCAATCGTCGTTTTTGCGTGTAGGCGCATGTAACGCATTTTTGCGCATCTATGTGGGGGTGGGGGACATTTACAAAATTTTGTAGATTTCTTTTTGTTTTGTGTGTGTAAATTTGTATTTATTTTGTGAGCATTTTTTTTTTCCTCTACGGCACTGCCGGTCAGAGGAAATCTTCCTCTGACCTGAAGTTCTGGTATCGAGCATTTGGGCGACTACGAGTACTCGCCCAAATACTCGGTATCGGCACCGATACTAGTATCGGTGTCGGTGCATCCCTAGTTTCCATGCATTCCAGACCAGAGAAAATGAGCCTAGCAGTATTTTTTTTGTCCGGTCCGGAACGGACTGCACTAGTGTGAACAGAGCCCAGAAATACCATAGGGCTACAATGGGATGCTTTCTTGGTACTGGAACAAACTGTTCTGATCCGGACATGATCCGGACATGGTGTGAACAAGCCCTAAACCACAAGAATAGAATAAACAGGGCAGGTAACTAGAGAGTCTACTGGTATATCTAAACAACGTTGCTGCAAAAGTGTGTGCAAAAGTTAGATTGCAGTTGGATCCTGAGTGTGTGATCCTGTTTCCATGCAATCATTTCCCAACATGATTTATTGCAATAACAGATGGACAGGAGAAAAAAAACCTGAAACCAGAACACGGGTTTTACTTGACTTAGGCCCGCAAAGGACCTTGCCGTTTTGGTTAATTGATGTGTAAGATCTGCGTGTTCTTCCTTTATAATCTAAGGAGCCGGGCTGCAGTCTTCCATTGCAGAGTTTCTGAAAGATGTTTCTAGGCCCTGGCTTGGACTGGTGCCATGTTCTGGCCTGAGGTTTGCTTTGTTCCAGCTGTACTTGGTCTGAGAGGCAAGGGGTCCAGTTTTGAAAACTCCTTTATTAAATTAGTTCTGCTGTATATGTTTCTGATGCTCTAAAGCAGGAGTATCCAAACTTTGCCCCTCCCGCTCTTGTGGTACTACAAGTCCTATGAGGCATTGCAACACTCCTACAGCCGCAGGCATGTCTTCCAGAGGCGGGTGCATGATGGGATTTGTAGATTCACCGCAGCTGGAGGGCTGAAGTTTGGCTACCCCTGCTCTAAGGGTTTTCCACATTCATCATCTATGCTTTATTACATGATGTCATGTTTTGTTTATGGGGAAAATAATCTGACCAGGTATAGCAAGCATTAGAAATAAGACCTCTGTGTTGGTCGAGGGATAAAAACTGTTTTTTACATTCTGATTTTTTTTTTTTCAGTGTCCTTTGAATCATGACCTCATACTTAGCCTCACTCAGGACGGGATCAAACTCTTGTTTGATGCTTTTAATCAAAGGCTAAAGGTGAGAGGCTTGTAGATGGGGGGGGGTTGTTGGCTCAGTCTGGTTTCCTAATGCTCTTGATTTTTATCCTCAGGTGATAGAAGTATACGATTTGACTAAAGTCAAATTAAAATACTGGTAAGTGTACCTGTCACCCGACCTTGCATTTTGGTCACTTTCATTAACACCTCCACTCTTTCTTTGCCTCTTTGTATAATTGGTTACACCATTTTGATTTGCATGTGCCTTGTAGATGCATGTGCCTTGTAGACAAATCCACACACTACATTGTACATTGTATGTCTGAGCAAAAAATAAATCAATTCACTATATCTCTGTATAGGGGTTCTGCAAAAAGTGAACATGGCAAAGCTGACAACACTGCTTGGGATTTCAAAGCAACAGAAGCAGTGTTGCCAGCTTGTTACAAGAAGTTTGGAGTGTGCTTGATTTCTGTCAGGATCAATAGGTATTTTCTTTATTTGCAGCTTTTTAAAATGATGAGTGGAAAATGTGCATTTATTGCAGAGATGTACTGATTCAAGATTTTCTTTTTTTTTCTACCCAAAAAGTTACTTTAACCCTGACTCTATTATAATTTTTTATAATCTCAGCTTCTTGTCTGCTTACTCTAACCTCTGACTTTGGATGTTTCTTGCTAACCTCCATATATACATTTTGGTCACTCTGGCTGTTATACTTGCTTGCCGTCCTTTATTTTTTGTCTGCTTCTCACTCTGATCTCTGTTTCTCTGTACGCTCTGCTTTTTCAGTTCTTCTAGATCTGAGCTTTGTTCTTTCTGTCTTTTTGCCCTTTATCCAAAATGACTCAACTGCCCCCTTTTTTTTACAGTGGGGTTCATTTCAACTCGCAGGCCATAGCTCCCACTATAGAGCAGATCGATCAGTCATTTGGCGCAACGCATCCAGGAAGTAAGCCCTCCACTTTGTTAATGTCGGTATGTTCCTACTTCAATACAGAAGTAATCTTCACTCTGCCTTCTGTTCATTTCAGTATACAACTCAGCAGAACAATTGTTCCACCTCAATTTCCGTGGTCTGTCGTTTTCTTTCCAACTGGATTCCTGGACGGAAGCCCCTAAGTATGAGGTAAGGAGTTGTTCTAGGGGGTTTTGCCAACTATGTTTAAATTATATCTTTTTATTCAAAGACGGTATAATCTATGCTAGCAAATGTATGGGGGCTTTTGACCTTCAAATGATTCCTAGTATGATACACTGGTGTGAATTACTGGCTAATCAGATGATATTTTAGCTGGACACGTATTATTTGGTCAAGTGTGCTATTTCACTAGAACTGGTCACAAAGGTTTGGGAATGTGAATTGATCTTGGACCTGGGGGTATTTGAGGCAGAGCAGGAAATAATCGCATACCATAAGGAAAGAAAGAGGAGACCGAATGGTGGCTGAACTCAAGGGGACAAAATGGCAACTAGTTGTCATAGGTTATAGAGGAGGCAGAGTAGAAGCTGACTATGGCAGGTGGTGGATGGGAGAGAGCACTGACAGCTAACCTTGGAACATTGGGAGATGAAGAGCAGTAGCTGACTGGGGATTATATTGGTAGGTGGTAGTGCTTGACAGGGGGAAGTGAATGGGCTAAAGCACAGAGAATATGGATTGGAGACAGAAGGCAGTGGGATCTGGTTGATGATAGTGGAGGTGAAGTGTGATCTCATCATTGAACATTAGAAGCGTAAGTATAGGTTGAACTCAATGGACTTGTGTCTTTTTTCAACCTGACTAACTATGTAAGGATAAGCATGGTTGGGTGACAAAGGAGAAGGTGATTGAAGCTGAGGAGAACTGAGGTAGCGCAGGAGTTGATCATGGATAGGGGAAAAAGGAGGCAGAGCTAGAACTGATTGTTGCTGAGAAGTTAGGAAGAGAGTGGGAAAGGATCTGCTCATAAATTTGAGGGTGAAGAGAAGGGAGGCCAAGGGGAAGTCTATCATGAACTGAGGGGAAAGGTCATGTATGAACTGTCATTTTTCCCATGTGTGAAACTTTGGTGCACTACCTATGACACTGACAAATGGTGGCACTTCGCCAAAGTGGGAAAGGGGGGCAAGGCTTAGCACATGTGAACTGTACACAGCGAAGAGTTTTTACTGGCATTATGTAGATAACAGTTTTATATATGCAAAAAGTCAATACAAAATTATTTTATTCTTGCTTTTATAGCCCAACTTTGCCCATGGATTGGCATCACTTCAAATACCACATGGAGCCATGGTGAAACGCATGTATATCTACAGCGGTAACAGCCTTCAAGATACAAAGTAAGAGACAACTTAAAGCACAGCTGCTGTTGTTTGTATAGCTCAAGGCCATGCCACAGGATACATTACATTCACAGAAAGTCATTTTATCCGTCTGGATTAGCTGTTATATCAGTAAAATTCATTAGGTGTAGACCAGTAACCACTCTGTGTTAGTACACTGAAAGATCCTAAAGCAAATCACTTTGCATTGGAAGGCCATTTTTAGCCCACAAACCGTTAAAAACTAGCCATAACCCTGCTTCATGCCATAGTGATGTAATGATTTGCTAAATTTTCTGACCATGTGTGACAGGCACTCTTTAAAAAAAAAAAAAAAAAAACCTAATGTGTCATTTTGCTGTATTTATGCATGGTAGAGCTCCTGCAATGCCTTTGGGATGCTACATGGGCAATGTGTATGCGGAAAGTGTGGATGTCCTGCGAGATGCATCTGGTCCCCTAGGGTTGAGACTCCGTATGCAGAACACAGGTACACAGCTGTACATATGTTACTTATTGGAATGTGCATGTTAAATTGGAAATGTTAATACATACCCTTTCTGTAACACCACAGTGGTAATAGTGCTCTCCAGTGAGTAGGCTGGGAGCACAGGAAGCTACAAATGTGAAGTAAAACTGAGCAATGGCATGTTTCTGTGGTCCCTGTACTCTTCTCATGAAATGCCTAGATATCTACCGCTAGCTCAAGGACTTGAAAGTATCTTAGAATTGTAGTGGTTTAAGTATAATGCATGGCCTCCCAGTTTAGTGTAATTTTTATTGCACAGGTGATTATGGAAAGAAAATCTAAATAAAATCAGATTCCATCCAATTCTATTTGCAGTATATTAAAGTGTATGTCCATCTTAAGTCTTTTGGATAGTTTAGGAAAGGAGCAGAACTCCCGTCTGGTTTTTACTAATATGCAAGACTCCGTTAGAGAGATTTCCCTACTTACTGTCTGTAACAGTGACAATCTTCAATGGCAGCACAGACCGAATTAAAAATCCTTTTTATTAGTAGAGAATTGGAAAACTAGAACCCCTGTCGGCTGTTAATTGTGGTCTGTGTCTTATCTTGCAGTTTTTTCCTTGCTTCCTCTTAAGTGATGGGAAGGCTCGCTTACGAATCCCCAGATAGCAGTGAAAACTGTCAGTGGTTCCAACCCTTCCAAGCACTATTCAAAACTAAAATAAAAAACTTTTGGTCAGATGTACCCTTCTTACACTTTAACAATTTGCTGAGGAGTACAGCTCTGTAATACCTTGTTTTTCTTCTGGCAGGTTGTGGTCCGGGAGTAATGGCCGATGCTAAGCTGCGTGTATCTGAGCGGTGTGTGTATTTTGGAGACTTGTGTCAGGATGTGCTGAGCACACTCGGAGCTCCACATAAAATCTTCTACAAGTCAGATGACAAGGTAGATGGACCTGCAACAGACTTTTAAAATGGATGCAGTCTGTAGAGTTGAAGTCAACAGAGCTTTATTAACAAAGGCAACATATGGCTTGAGACAAAACTGCAGCCAAAGGCTCAGCTACCTGGGATATAGTGGGAGGAGCTTTTTGTAGCGTTCTCCGCCCCTTTATTAAGCATGCTAATAGAACATCAAATACAAATTTATTATTGTGTGCAACATGAAATATACAAATCCAAAATCCTATGTCTACACATGGGTCTGAAAAAAAAGGTTACTTAGACTATAAAAGGAAATGATCAATGTGTAATAAAAAGTAACCTTCCGGCTACATAAAGCCCAGCTCCAGGCACAGCTATTTTTTCACTTTTAAAAAAAATTTAAACTGTATAATTTGTATTACTGTAGGAGCTAAGAGCTGCTGATGTATACAGCATCCCCAAACTTCCGCCTCCCTGCTGTATCAAAACAGTGTCTATGATCAGCACCTGTTCTGGTATTGTGACTTCGTCCCCTTCCATTGTACAATAATGGCCCTACGGCTGTGATTTGCGAATGGCACAACAGAGAGAGGTAGTCGCGGCACAACACCAAAACTGATGATGCTTATAGACACCATTTCAATGCAGCCTGAAGTGCAGCTTCTCCTGTACATATCAGTAGATCTCAGCTGAGTATACAGAGAGCTCCTGGAGTAATAAAAACATAAAAATTTTTAATGTGGAATCCCGGTCAGGTCACTATCTGCGAGGAGATTGCATGTTCTCCCTGTGCTTGTGTGTGTTTCCTCCGGGTACTCTGGTTTCCTCCCACACTCAAAAGACATGCTGGAAGGTTAATTGGCTCCTGTCTGAATCAGCCCTTTGTGCATGTGAGATGGGGACCTTCGATTGTAAGCTCCTTGAGGGCAGGGACTTATGTGAATGTGCAGCATGTAAATTGTCAGCGCTACATACATACCTGTGGTAATAATAATATTATTATTGTCGGTATTAAAGGTTCAAAACCAACATTAAAATACACGTGTCAGGAGCTTATGGAAGTACAGGGACTGCCACAGCTGGTCTCCTGAAGAAAATACTAGGGGTCTGTCTGTGTCTGAAGTGCTGCTGAACCACAGACCCAGAACAAGTATATGTTAAATGAATGTCAGAAGAGTGTGAGAATCCCATATCTGTATACTTGTTCTAGATCAGCAACACAGATCACCTTAAAGCCAAAGCATGAGCAAGACAGTCGAGGAAGCGGCATTCTCAAAAGGAGAGTTCAGCAATGGCAGCCTCCAACTTTCACTGTTGACAGAGTTCCTTTAAAAGATAACTATGGCCCAAAGTTTTTGGCTTTAGTTCTCTTTAGGGTCACAGGAGGACATTTACTATGTCCTCCTGTTACCCAAAACTCAGCATATTAGCTGGCTAGTGCCCGCTATATGCTGACGGAACAGAACTGTGCAGCGGCCGGAAAAAATCCTGACAATATTGTCAGGATCCACCCCGGTGCCTGATTAACAGCTGGCTCTGCCTCTCTGTGCCTGGCCCTGTCTGGTGTGTGGTATGTGATTGCTCTGTTCTCGATCTATAGAGGTGACGTGTGACAGCTTCAGCGTCACACATCGGCTCTAATTATGGGGATGAGTGTATTTCACTCTCCCCGTGATTCTCCTTTAACCAGCAGACATCAGAGTGGGCCTTGGTAAACCTTCCCATGACGGATTATCTAGGCAAATGCAAGGAGGTTTAAACACAGCTGAGGTTCTATGCACCTCCGGAGATTGGGAGAGCTATAGGGGAAAGAGACATTTGCTTGCTAACCTAGAAAATAAAATTGGAAAAGGAGAGAAGATAATAGAAGAAATGATCTAGTATCTACAGGCTTTCAGAACAAAAAAAAAAGTTTCAAATATGTCAGTCTCTAAAAGTGCAGCTCCACCTTTATTAGAAAATGGATATTAAAAAGTGACAAAGAGAAATGAACTTTGTAAACCGTATCAGAACTTGTTTTGTTTCAGTGGACTTGTAAAGAAAGTTTAGCCTTGCTCACTGTTGTTCCACTCGGTGTTTGACAGCATCTCTTCATGCTCCTCACCCCATGCTCCTCACCCCACAAGCCAGACTTACAAGTTAAAGATGGACTCCGGGCAAACGGCTAAATATACAAATGAAATGCATATAAGGGAGTTGTTTTACCCACCAAAGGATTTGTAATTCTGACCAACCTGTTTACACAGCACAGCTACGTGGATGACACCAGTAAAGTTCATACTCTCCACCCTCAGACTATTGTTTACACAGACTTGCAACCCATCTGATTGGCTCCTTGCCTCTTTTTCCCCAGTCTGATTTTCTGCTGAATAGTAGATAGCAAGATTTCATATACACTACTTACACTAGTTGCAGTAAAAAAGTACAATAATGATATATTTTAGCTGAAAGAATGACCATTGCCAATGCAAGGTGATGCTTGAAATCTTCACTACACAATCATGGAAGCTGTGTAGGTACGTAATGCTTGCACTAGCGAGTAGTCATTGGTCAGTGAAGCCACATGAGCCTCCACTGAGCCCTCTTCATTGAGACCAATGAAAGGAGATTCTTATTGATCAGTGTGGTCATATGACTGTGCTGACCAATAACTACACCAGAAAGTGCAAAAAGCGTGTGTGTGTTTTGTAGATCAGGTTAAAGATTAAAGTGACACTAAACTCAGGAGTTAAATTTTAAAAATGCTTTCAAGTACCTTAACTCTTTACGAAAATGTATCTTCTTTGTGTATCACTCGGCTGTAGATCCTCAAATCATCTCTGAATTGGTGCTGACTCTGTCCTTCCTTCTGGAGGGTGGCTACTTTTATTCTCCATGGTCCCTGTGTGTGTTGTAAAGTAGTCACCGCTCCAAGCTCACTCCTGTGATGGACTACAGTCTCAATACAAAATTCTAATAAGTTTTACAAAGAACCTTATAATGTTATATAAAACAAATCTATGCAGTTCTTTTAGGTGATGCAGATTTCAGGCAGTTTATTGTTACAAAAAATTGATCATTTATTTTATTGCTGGCTAAACAGCAATTTTCTTCTGTCATTCCAGATGAAGATTCATTCCCCGTCCCCCCACAAACAGGTCCCGGCAAAGTGCAATGATTATTTCTATAACTATTTTACCTTGGGTGTGGTGAGTATAGACCCTGTTGTTTGTGTAGTCTTTTTAATGTAACATGTCATATATTTACATCATTGTTCAAAATAAACATAGTAGATAGTAAGGATGAACCAATACCGTTTTTCCGCTGATACCGGAAGTCCCATTAAGGAAGCTGGGCAGCGAGTAATGACGCGCCGCCCGGCTTCCTGATTAGCTGGGAAGCCGTCTTCATGCTCCTGCATCGCCGTGGTGAGGAGGAATCATGGAGCCAGCTTCCCGGCCAATCAGGAAGCCGGGCAGCGTGTAATGACGAGCCACCCGGCTTCCTTATACCAGAGGTTCAGGTATCGGGATAGGCATCTAGAGCACTTGGGGAGTACGAGTACTTGCCCAAATACTCGGTATCGGTGCATCACTAGTAGATATTTAAAGTGTATGTAAACCCGAACAGTGAGTCTTATTTGTTCCCTTTTGGTCTGTTAAATATTCCATTGGAAGCATATTGTTATGTCTGTTTGACAAGTGCAAAAAACCTGTCGATCTTGTTGGAAATTCTGAGCTGTCCTGTGTCCTCTGCACGCTTCCTTGTTCTGCATGAATAAATATTGAAGTCTCAGAGCCTTTTGGATTTATCCCTTTTGCTGTCTGTGTCCGTTTGCAGAGTTTTCCCTTCACATTCTGTCCCAGCAATACAACAGCAAGTGAGAGGAAATCTTTGCAACGTGAGGGTAGTTATCCACTTGTAGTGACAATTGTAAATCTTGATTTCCTATCACTTTGGGGCTTATGTATAAAGGCGCTGCCCAGCATATAGCATGGCGATACACTGAGTGTTCGCCTGGCACTACATCCCCTAGATGAAGGGAGGAGCATAAGAATCGCCTAAACTCCTTGGAGCCATCTAGTGCCAGTGATGTTGTGCCTTTTATACATCAGTCTTTTATGTCTTGGTGACAACAGTCACTATGACAAAAACAGACAGGGTTATGAACAAGATAGGTTCTGTAGGTTTGTCCTTAAGTTGAATTTGTATGTAAGTTGGAACATGTAAATGTTTTAAGTGTAACTCCAGCCTGGATAGCATAGGGAAGGGTTAACCCCCTGTAATGTTTGTTTTGCTGTGTGTGCCCCTGAAGATTTCACCTCACTTCCTTTCCCTGTGACAATTGGATTTTGAACATTTTGGGTTGTCGTGGGAACAAGGATTGGTGATAAAGCTTCAGCGGAGACACCTTTTTCCCACGATCACTCTTACAGGAGTGAATTTCCCTCTTCTAGGGGTAGATTTCCTCTCACTTCCTGTTGTCTCAAGGACAGGAAGTGAGATTAAATGTTTCTAATGAGGGTACAGACAGCAGTAAAAACCTCACAGTGACCCGGAAGAAGAGGCGGGCACCCCTCATCTGCACTTCTAACAAGAGCCAACTTCCAGACCCAAAAAGGCGGGCACTCCTCGTCGGCACGAGCGCGGCAGCATTACAACTACCCCTGCTGTACAGTACTAGCCTCCGTTTGTAAGTAGGAGTCGTATGTAAGTCGGATGTATGTAATCCGGGGACTGCCTGTATAGAGGCGTGAATCTCCCCAGCGGGGACACAGATGGCAATAAAATTGTGACAGATGTTCTACCACTCTCCTCTCTCCAAAACATATTTACACATGCACATACACTTAACTGTCAACTTAATTGAATATTTGTATCCTTTTGGCATTGAAGGCTTATAAAAAAGCACACAGTTGGATATCCCTTCTAAGGCTCCTTTTTTTACATGTATGTCGTTCGTTACACCTATATCATTACACTGATGATAATTAAACCGTGCTCTATATCTGTATCATATTGTGTATAAAAATCTCCGGTATATTACACTTAATTATATATTCATTTATATAATGCTCCCGAATTCTTTAAACATCGAGTTCACCAGCAGAGCTTGGGAGGAAGATGTACGTCGTCTCCTGCCTCCCTAATTTCTTCTCCCGTCTTTTATTGTCTTTCTTTTAATTATCCTGTTTAGGACTATTTTTGTTACAAAATGTACAAGATTACCCAGTGGCAGCAATCTCTTTGAACTCTCCACTTTAATTATTGAGCCCTAACCATTTTCAGGCTTTTCAGTGCAGCGCACAAAGGATATCATTTTTTGGCACCTTTATCTCACTATTTAAAGCTGGACTTCAAGCAAATCTGAACACCCGGGTGACACCATTGGAAGGGTGACACCAAAATGACTCGCAGTCATTTTAAGGTCACCCCCCTCTGAAAAGTCGGGCGCTCAGTCATGGACCGAACGCCTGACAGTATCAGGAGAGAGGAGGGGACCCGGCAGCATACCTTATCCCGCAGGGTGACTGTCCCCTCCTCTCTCTGCCGGTGTCCATCACCAAGATGGCCGCCGGCAGGTATCAGAATACTGACGCGCATGCGCGATGACGTCACGCGCATGCGCAGTGACGTCTCTGCGGGGTGACACTCGGTTACCGCTCTGGGTGTCACCCAGCCTCGGGACGCCCCTGCAGAGCTGCAAATTCTTTAGCAGGTAAAAGAGTCAAATTATAAATGTTTTAAAGGTGTATTTAGCCATTTGCAATCAATATTAAATATATCCATTTCCCGTAAAGGATTTCCCTTGTTCTGTGCATTATTAGTGTGATATGTAACACATTCTTTGCTAGAGACACAGATCTGTGCAATGATATTAAAGTAAAAATTTTTTGTACCTGGTGAGATGGTTATTATTAGAGGTGCACCGAAATGGAAATTTTAAAACTGAAACGAAACCGAAATTTTTAAAAATGTCAGGCCGAAACCGATACCAAAAATGTTTTTTATTTTTTCAATATTTTACTTATTTGTTATAAACGTTTTATTTTTGTTATTTATTTTTATTCATTTAAAAAAAAATATTTTTATTTTTTACTTTACTTTTAGGGGCTCTGGGGAAATATTAGGGGTCTAAACAGATCCCTGATATTTCCCTTTTAAAATAGAAAAAGAGATTGAGGACTTTGTGTTCTCAATCTCTTTTTCTGTGTCCCCTGTGTCAATGAACAGGAATCCTCTATGAATGGATGGGGGTGATGTAGATCACTCCCATTCATTCATAATTGAGGATATAGTTAACATACCATGTCCTCAATTATGTACAAGCGCTCACTGATCACTGAGTGTGTGTACATTGCTTTTCTCTCTGACACGCTGTCACAGGAGGCTGATCGAGCGGTGGAGAGGAGAGCCCAGCCTCCTGTGACAGCGCTGTCTCCACCCCCACACCGCTCTGCCGGACTGTAATAGGCTGCTGAGCGGTGTGGGAGGAGACGCCGGCCGCTCACAGCGCTCTCCACCGCAGCACTCGGCTGGCTGTCACTTTCTCTTCTCCCCGCTGGGACACAGAGTAGCGCCCAGCGGGGAGGAAAGAATTCAGGGATGCGCCGATGTATCGGCAGGAAAATTGCACTTTCGGCATCCCTAGTTATTATCATTGCTATTTTAATACAGTATTTATATAGCACCAGCAGTCTAAATAAAACTCAAGACAAGACGGTAAGGAGGGCCCTGCTCGTGAGAGCTTACAATCTAAAAGGGAGGGGAAAGTGATAGATAAGGCGGTAGCTGTGTGGTTATGAGGTGTTTAAGAAAGTAATAGTTCAGTGGTTGGGTAGAGGTGGGATAGGCTTCCCTGAAGAGATGAGTTTTCAGGGATTGGCTAAAGGCAGACAAATTAGAAGTAGCCGAATGGATTTAGTGTAGGGAGTTCCAAAAGATGGAAGAGGCCCTGGAGTAGTCCTGGAGGTGAGCATGGGAGGAGTTGACGAGGTTGCCAGAGAGCAGGAGGTCTTGGGAGAAGTGGAGAAGATAGTTAGGGTGATATTTAGACACAAGCTTGGAGATCCTCTGGCAGATGAGTCCCTCTGTTAAACCCGACAACAAGAATCATTTGTTGTAGTAGATGAGGCATTGCTTCTGTCCAGGGAGTTGAAAGAAGGGAACTATGCAAGTCCTGGCATCCTCAGCATCTCTAGGCCTTCCTGTTGGTGTTGTAGGTCATATTCTTGTACTGCAGAAGCACACACATTGTCCACTGCCTGGGGCTAGGAGGAAACCTCCTTCAACAACTCTGGGGAACTTTTATGCATGCAAAAACGTAGTACATCTGCACACAAGTCTTTGTTTTGTACTGCCATGCTTGGGTAATAACGTGAAAGTGCTATTGATAAGGACAGACAAGCTCCCATTTTGGGCCATGTCTAGCCCTTTATCAAGCTAGGAGCAAAGTGTTTGCTCCTAGCTTGATGTGGATGTACTATGTTTTTGCATAGATCATACAGTACTGTATAGTGCAGCGGTCGCCAACTGGTTCCACGAGTAAATGTTGGTGGTCCCCGGGGCCCTCTGATGCCGTACAGGCTGGGCCATCATTGAAGCGGCATGGAGACTCCGGGGCTGCCTCTCACTGACTCAAGCAGTGGCTGTCACCAGGAATGCGCGGCTCTCACTACAGTGCGGGCTCTGCAGGAGGCGGGGCATCTCGTCAGTACCCGGACTGAGCAGGCTGCGGGACATAGAAAAAGTGGTGAGAATTCAGGTAATAGTGGCTCAGTGTGGGGGCAGTGCTGAAGCTGGGGGGACATGTGCCCTGGGCACCGCCGGCAGGGCCAGTGGCAGATTCGTAGGGGGGGAAACAATATTATTACTGGGCCGGGGTGGGCGGCACCGCTCCTTCCCTCCACCAGCACTGCCACTCCTGCAGGCACACCCGCACCTATGTATGTGTATATATACTGTTTGTGTATATAGATATATTCTCATATTTTTTGTTTCCTCATAAATATATTCTCATATGTATGTATTTATGTGTATATACATGTGTGCACACACACACACACACACACACACACACACACACACACGAGAATATATTTATATATGAGGAAACAAAAAATATGATATAT